CCAAGTGATAATAATTGCGATCCACACATCCCGGGCTGATAAATGGGGAAGAGTGAGAGATCTAATGGTTCTTGGCCTTCCCCCTTAACCCCACGGGATGGAGATTGAAAATGATGAATCTACGCAAGCCTTGCAAGGCTAAAGGCGGTTTAGTAACTTTGGCCGGAGGGCGGCTATGACGATGGCGGGACACGCGGACCCCGACGGATAGGGCAGATAGAGATTAGGAAGGAGAAGAGCGCATTCGGGGGAACGAAGAAAAGCAGGTTGGAGATCTTCCTCCCATCATCAGAGGCACTTTAGTGGTGTGTCTGACATCATTTTCAGCGCCCTACAGGGCGATCTGTGCAAGGGAGGTACGTAAGAGGAGACACGAAAAGTACCAACCAGGATGATGGGGAAGTAAGAAGTGTGGTACGGAGGTAGGACTTAGAATAGAATGACCACGGAGAATTAAGGCAAAATGCCCTGCAGAAGAGATTGTTTGGTTGACCCCCAGGGGCCTCCCGAAGTTAAATTTTCTTACTAAAAAAAAACCCCCTCCTGATCGTTTATGTTTTTTTTTTTTTTTTTTTTTTTTTCTCTACTTTTTATTTTACTGCGTAGAGTAGTATGTACCGAGGCCCCAGCGCATACGTAGACTTCATGTAGATGTGAGATCCTTTGATCCACTGTGTCCGAATTGTACCTGCTCTCCCACCATCAAGAACGCCGTCATCCTTATGTACCAGCGAAATTATAAAAAGCCCTCCCCCACCCTCCACTGATACTAGTCTACATAGTTACTGCCCTTCACTTAATCCGCTGTTCTCTTGATTGATTTTCTGGCCTATGTCTATCTCTACACGCTCGTTCCCCCTCTTTACTCTTCCCTTCCCCTGCCTGACCAAGCCTAAGATCCTCTAAACAAGAATTGCATGTCTTCCGGGGTAAGCTTCTCCAGTTTCTCTCCTTGATCTTTGTTAATGGTACCGTTGATCATGTTAGCCTTCTTCTCTTGTAGCATAACTATTCGAGATTCTACCGAATCTTCAATGCACAATCGAGTTATGACACAAGGTCGGCGCTGGCCGATGCGATGACATCGGTCTGCACTCTGCCATTCTGCAGCTGGGTTCCACCACCTAGCACCAGTAGAGTTAGTTGGATAGACATTCGTTCGCTTTGCTAGTCAATGCCACTTACGGGTCAACGATAAAAACCCTCGAGGCCTCGGTTAAATTCAGAGCCACACCGCCGGCCTTGAGGGAAACTAGAAACACTTCGACATCGACATTGTTCATAAAGTATTCGATAGAATTTTGGCGTTGTGCCGGTGTCATAGTTCCATCGAGCATGACGGTGTTGAAACCAGCTCGACGTAGACGCCATTCCACAAGTTGCAACATCGAGGTGAACTGGGAGAAGACAATTGACTTCAGTGTCTGCTTCTTGCTTCTCAGTTTATAGAGCTCGTAAACAAGCATCTCAATCTTGGTTGACGATGTCCAGTCCTCCATGCGGATCCGATTGATGATGGAATTTTGCTTGATGCACTCTTCCTCTTGCTCGATGTCAGGTTGTTCGAAATCGATCGACAAAGGGATGTGGCACCGAGGGCAATCGACGATTGAGCCCACATCGAACGACCTAATATAGTCTTTGGCGCATCTTCGGCAAAACTCATGATGGCAACGGGAACGAATTGCTTCTTCCGCCGGTTCGTCGCAAATGCAGCAGACAAGTACGTTTTGCCCGGTTTCTGCGTGTTTCTTCAAAATGAGGTCCGGGTGATTCGCAACCTGGCGCATCTGCATGATAAGGCCGAAGATATTTGCGTAATTGTTCAACATGACACCACGGCTTACATACGTATCAAACTGCCTCGTCGTATTAGTCATGATGCTCCGAGAGAAATCACGTTCAATCTCTCCAAAGAATTCGTTATGGAGAATGACACTGGTATAACGTTAGTACTTCTCTCAGTACACCTGTGCCAAGAGGTTACGAACCGCTTTGGTGGAAGCTCCATCGAAGCCGTATGATCTCTTTTTACTCGCCGCAGCATGATCCTATCAGTTATGAGGCGAAGCTTCGACAATGCCTCCTTGCGTCCTTCCGGATTATCCCTCTCAGTGACTCCCGGGGAGTTAGTGAGGTCTCAGCGTACATTGATACACAACTTACTAGGATTCAAAATTTCCTGGTTGAAGATTGAGACATGGCTGAACCCACTAAATTGAGAATGACATTAGCTACTTGATCATTGTAGGTGCTGATGAAGGACCGTACCTATGCCCGCAGTCAGTGCATTTTTTGGCTGCATCCTGTGACCAGTGAAGCTGCTGGCACTGGCACTGCTTGCAAAAGTAGCAGGCAAACGGCCGGACATCCAGAAAGCGAAGGAGAGAAAAAAACTCTCCAATCCGATTTTGGACAGGAGTACCCGACAGACACCATTTGTAGTTTGCTTTCAGTGCAAAGCATGCACGGGCGACACTAGTTGTACGTTGCTACAGACGTAAGCCGTCAGTGTTTGATGTTATGGCATCATAAAAGAAAGACCGACTATACCTTAATGCTATGCGCTTCATCCAGGATCAAGCGATGATAATGAATAGAATGAATGACGCCTTTCCTGGTTAATATACGCTATCTTCTGGGTCATCAACGAGAGTTCTTACTGTTCTCCTGGATGATGCCATCATCGCGATTCCACCCTTTCAATTCTTTGCGGTGAATTGATTCGAGACCCGAATCTAAGTAGAGTATGTCACGTCAGTTCTTAGTGTCCTCAACTCATTTCTCATGGTCACCGTACAAGAAATCATTATCACATCATAGGCCAGAAGATCCTGCTTTGAGAGGGTTTTGACCTTCGGGTTCGAATTGTGGTAGATGAGGACATTCAATTGACCATTCGTATATTCCTAGTCCAATGCATTAGCGATACTTCAATCCCAGGGTTTCATCAGACATACTTTGATCTCTGATCGCCATTGCATCAAAGCGACTGGAGGAACAACGACAAGCGATGGCCTACCAGCCGGGTAATCGGACATAAGAAGGGAAACGGCCTGGATTGTCTTTCCCATGCCCATCTCGTCTCCCAATAACCCTCCCTTGTAATGTGATTCTTCTTGTTGCATCATCCAGCTCAGACCCTCAAGCTGGAATGGCTTGAGTGCTCTCGATATACCAGGAGGTTGTTCCGCCATTACCGGCTTCATCGGGGGAGTGTTCCTTAAATCATCCCACATTGTAATGACGCATGGATGCTGCCTTTCAAGTTTTAGTCTTTCTTTGAGAGCCTGCGTGCTTTGTCAGACATAATTCCAAAGATAGCTCAAGTGAGAAACATACACGGGACCCCCTCCTTCCTGTCTCTGCTGGCTCTGAGCGAGAATTTCTGCCCGCTCTGCGTGAAAACCCTCGTGTAGCGGCTCGTCCTCTAGCATTACGCATATTTCCGATCCTGGAGCGCCTTGGTGGGACTAGAACTTCATCCTCATCCGAGGAAGATGCAGAAGACACCGATTCAATGTCAGTCAGAGGATCGTCGCTTGATTCGCCATCGCCCACATCAGTCGGGGATATCTGGCGGAGGCTACTCTTGTTAGCTGATCGAAGAGATCTCCTTACCCCGCGCGAAGGGGTCGGTCCCCTGGATAAATCCTCATATGCATCGCGATCAGGATCGAGCCCAAGGACACTATCTTCTTCGGCCGAGTCTTCCAATCTGGAGTGAAGCCGTCTCGAGGTCCTTCGTAACTTGAAAGGTGGTTCTTGATATTCTTGAGCTTGAAGATGCTGAGCCAATACTGCATCAGAATCTTGCAACGTGGGATGGCTTATAGAAAGTGCCGCTGAAGACCTCTTGGACCCTGGCGATGTATGTAAAGACATAGCACTCGATCGTAATTCCTGGGCACGTGTAGAGGCGCTGACCCTCTTCCTCGATCGGCTTGTATCTGATTCCACAGGCGTGACTGCCATACTAGTTGCGGGTGTACTGTATGCAGGCGTTATGTCTTCATCGCCGGATATATCTTCGGTTGGAAGGGGAGAAGCAGATGAAGATGAGACGGGATATCTCCTCAGAGGTATTGCAACTTCGATAGAGTATTGTCTATCTCCAGAAGACATCGCCCCTTCCACCGCGGGCTTCCGGCCTCTGAGATTACCTCCAATTTCTGAATCGTTCGAGTTCCCAGTATAAGCTGCTGAGGATGCTCTAGCCAGTCTCGCAGAGGTTCGTCTAGGTACGGACGAGGTATCTGATTTGTGCCCAAAATGTCAGTTACTGCTAATAAAAGTCCGATTGACTTGCAATCATTTCGTTTTGAGTTGAGGTGTGCGAATATCTCCTTCTGGCGTCGTTGCTCCTTCGGAGTTGAAGTAGACAAGAGGGTGATCCGACAAAGAGACCTCACCAGCTAATGGGGTCATTCCCCTCCCTGTAGTTGATGATTTTCGATTCATACTTGTGAACCAAGTGATCGAATGTTCGTGAGAGCTGATAACTAAGGGCTGGAGATTGTTTGATGGCTGTCACAGATGTATCTGACGAAGAGTGAGGCAAACGGCTGGAGCAACGCCACCCGGGGATGGATAGCTAGGGGAGGTTGTGTACTCCGTACCTTGGCCGCGGTTATCGGAATAAAGCGCCAGGATGATGGGACTTTGGGGCGAGGGAAAAATTTTTTCTTTCTTCCCAAAAAAAGGTTTCACTGCATCGATCTAGCCATTCGATGGAGCAACTTTAGGCACCAAATCATCGTTTTGCTGACTGTTGCCTGGCCTCAGTCTGCTTTAACACATTTAATTGTTATCTTTCCCCCTTGGCCGAACACGAAGCCGATAAGCCCGCCCGTCGACTCCCGCGTTAAGTGGAACGCGAAATCACCACGGGTTCCTGTGACCTGCAAGTGTCGCCACCTTGAAGCCCTTCCAGGAAAAAGAATCACTTTATCAACTATATTCATCTACACGATTCAATATTGTATTCGGCTTGAAGAAAAATGTTCGTATCCGATTTAGTGTTGAAGATATATATTTTGGTCATTGACAACAGTATATCAGGGCAAACAGAAGGCAAACGAGGAATCAGATTCGGGGCCCGTATGTTCTCAATAGATTCTATCTTTCCCCTGTCATCACCCACAGCCTTTACTAAAAGTCGCTACTACTTAGGCACTCTGCTCTGACCGATTTTCTGGCCGTAAGTAAACTGTATCTGTTTGTTCCGGCTTCCGCTGTTTCCCCGATCATATGCGAATTCTCCTGGAGCCCTCCACTGATGAATTTTTGATAATTTTCAGTCGAACAACATATCTGCCGCTCAAATTCAGCAAGATCACTTGACACGGTTAAGGCAATTTGAGCGCCAGACAGCTGTTGAACGACAAGAAAGTGATCATGTCAACGTTGATGATGATGATGATGAATACCACAATGTCGATGAGTCGGCAGCAGACAAGAAAAAGCGGAAAAGAAAAGAGGCTGTCGCTCTCGCGAAGATAAAGAAAAGCAAAGAATTCGCTCGTCGTAAGGCTCAAGGCGCAGGCGAATCTGATAACGATGATGATATCGCCCGAGAGATGATGTGCGAGAATTCTCAGCCCTTTGCATTTCAGCTAGAAAACTGTGAGATATGTGGCAAACGCTTTACAGTAACCCCTTACAGCAAAGCTGGTCCCCATGGAGGCCTCCTTTGCGCGAAATGTTCGAAGGAGCTAGCGGATGATGAGAAGAAGCCCAGAGCTAATAGGCGGGGCCCAAGAAGTGGTCGTCGCCAGAAGCAAAGTAATCTGCTCGATGGGTTTGCTCAACCGGGCGCTCCAAGCCTAGCGGAGATGTGTACGAAGGTACGTCAGGGCTTGTTCAGAAACATGATCTTTTGCTAACCTCCGGCTACAATAGAAAGTAGCTGACAACATCAACGATATCGAAGAATTTGGAGATTTGCCCCCGCAATTGCTTCATCGTCTCGGTCAGATTTTGTGCAAGAGGCGTGTTTTGACTTCAAGAACTCTTAATTTGTTTCTTCGGTCGGATCTTAATTTCATTGACATCTATGATGCTGCAAGTACGTTCTGGCTTTCACTTCTTTCTTCCTCCTCCCTCCCCTTGAATTCTACCGGCTTTGTTCAGTATCTTTTCGTCATCCCTCCACTTTTGATATCCTGCTCATTTTAATCCTACTTTATGCCAATGAGTCAAGGTATGAGTGTGCTAATTGCAACAGAGCTTGAAACACAGGACTTCGAAAAGATCTTCGCTTTTATGCCTAATCTATATCATGTGAACTTTCGCTTTGCTAGTCAAATGAAAGATAAGGTGGTTGAATACCTTTTGGATCGCGATTTGAGGATCAAGCGCTTGCAGCTAGATGCCGCAAATTTGATATCAGATGCATGTTGGCAGCAGCTGTTTCGAAAACTGGGACCCCAATTGGAATCTCTAAAGTTATCTAATCTCGATTCCTCCTTTGACGACGAAACAGTGGAAGTGATGTGCAGGGAGTGCACAGCGCTTCAACGGTTGAAATTGAAGCAGTGCTGGAAAATGGGCAATCGCTCTCTCCGAGCCATTTCCGAGCTGGTATCTTTACAGCACTTGTCTTTGAACTTTGTTCAGGAAGTGAATAATGAGATTCTCCTCAACACAATTTCAAAGACCAGCCCACATTTGCGGACGTTGTCCTTGGAAGGGATATCTACCGCAGATGACCGTCTCCTAGATATCATACATGTCAATTGCCGCGCCTTGACGAAGTTTCGCTTTTCTGACAACGCAGTGTGTAGTGACAGAGGCTTCGTCGCTCTCTTCACTGACTGGAGCAACCCACCGCTGGAATTTGTGGACCTTTCATCCACGAGAGACGTTGACAATTCGAACCCTGATGGACCTGCGGATGCGATTGGCCTTGCATCCCAAGGTTTCATGGCTCTCATGAACCATTCAGGGCCCGGGCTACAGAAATTAAATATCGCATCCTGTCGCCACGTGTCCCGCTCTGCTTTTGAAGAAGTTTTCGCGGCCGGGAAAACGTACCCCAACCTCGAGGAATTAGACGTGTCCTTTCATACAGTCGTCGATGACTATGTTGTTGGTCGGATCTTTCAGTGCTGTCCCAAACTCCAGAAATTGGTTGCTTTTGCCTGTTTCAACCTGCGAGATGCTCAGGTTCCGGCCGGAGTTGCTCTGATTGGCGGATTGAGGGCCCAAGACCCCATTGTACTTCAGGGCCATCACTACTAGATAAGCTTGAAAGCTCTGCGTGATCTATACCCCCTCGCCCCTGGTTGCTCGAATGATGAACAGCTCATTTGCCCTGGTGTTGACAAATGCTGTTACACCATCCCTTTCAGTCTTTGTTTGCTAAATTACTCTTAACAGGGTGATTCATAACTGTTGTTTGCGGTCTGCCGAGACTGAGCATCTCAATGGAACGGGCATAACGAGCTGTATTTGCGAACCAATCCCAGTCCATGTTTCGAGAAAGCTTCTTTGAATGGGGATTGAACTTTTTCATAAAATGCAAGTGCTTGGTTGCGTCTTTAGTGTACTGAAAAGCAGGCGCGATTAACAATGAACCGTCGACGATAACAACGTAAGATGGAATCGGCTGGAGGGATTTACATATGATTAAAGGGTACTAGATAGTACAGCCTCGCAGACTTGCCAACCCACAATGCGGCCGGAGATCATGAACAATCAAGCATCCTGATTAGTCTAGCATGGTGAGGATTTTAAGATAGGAATTCCCGAATAGATAGTTGTCCAGTAATAAGGAAGCATGTTATAGAATATGATAGTACAATTCATACTATATGCTTTTGAGTTACTGGGTGTGTGTGTCGAGTGACGCTGAGGGATTCGACAATGAATCCACTCTGTAGTATCTGATTACACACGACTGATAGTGGGACACATAACTAACGTACTAGGATGTCAATATAGGGGATAATCCCATTGATAATCCCATTGATAATCCCATTACATATCCCATTACATATCCCATTACATAGAGAATACTCCGCAAGTATTCTGTAGGTACCACTGCAACACCATTGCATCCAATAGTCCAGCTTGATCGAGTAGCATCTATATAGTAATGCTGACTGTGGGCGACTAGATACCTGGTAAAGTGATCATCTTCCGAACGTCGAAACTGACTAACGAGAAATGTTCAATATGACAGGTACATATATCATGATTAAGTAGCACCACTACCTAAGTCCGATAGGTTTAGCTGTGGGCCGCCGAACAAGAAGAATTGAAAAGTGATGGAATGGGATACCTATAAGTGGGCGGCGGTAAGAGGGAAGAGCTATCTACTTCGCTATTTCGAGAAAGGAATGCCTTAGCCATCAGGTGGTACGTCGGATGGCGGTGGTTAGTCGTTGGCCCCCTTACATGACATTTGACGGCGGTGGAATGGTGGAATGCCTTGGAACGGACCGTGTCCATTTATCTACCTCGGCCAGTTCTAGGCCTGGTACCAACCCCCTCCCTCCCCACCTTTCATTGATTTCTCTGCTTTTCCTCTTCCTACATTTTCGGAGATGGGAACAGACATACTCGAGAGAACAATGTTTAATGTACATTTCCGGTTTCCTTTCAAGCATCTTCTCCTGCACCAGGGTGGTTGGTTAAAGTGCAAAGAAACACACATTAAGTGACTAGTAACTGTAGGGTCTAGATTGATACCAGACAGGGTTGTCAGCTACCCGGTAAATATTATTAGTAGTCATCCATAAGTTACTACGTAGGTCGTAGATAGATAGGATGTTTATAATTAGTCTTAGAACCAAGGGAAAGATTTTCAATCTGGGATGGTCTGACCAACCAAATCGGCGGTGCCGACTGAGTTTTGGCTGGCATTGCTCACTCTCACTAACCGCTCAGAGCTCGGGAAGACACAGAGCCAGAGTCAGAGATACTATATTTGGCGTTGCTCGCCGCCGGACTAACGCGCCGGGCTCCACCCTCCACATCCACCCACCCTCCAGGGTCTGCTGTGAGTGCTGACTGCTGAGAGAATGTGAGACTGAAAGTGAGAGAGAGACACAGAGAGGAAGGTGCCTTGGGACTGGATGAGCGGTTGGTCCTTGGGTGGATGCCGCTTGTTTCTATTCCTCTTCAGCTAAACCAACCTTCTACTCCAGAGTCCTAGATAGATCGGACTTTTCAGTCTTTCCCCCATGAAACATCTGGGCTTCTTTATTCAAGCGGCTGCTACCGCTGCTATAATTATGGGTTATGGTTATTACCATTACTGTTACCATTACGAAGTAATATTCATTCACTAATAGTATGGAGTAGTAGTAGTATGATCATTATTTACGCCAAATTTGCATCAGGCTTACTTTTAGTATGTCCATAACAAAAAGTAGATAACCTGAACTAGTCCGGCGTAGTCTTTCTTTTTCTTTCTTTCCCATTAGCTTTTCTCAAACTCACTAAAATACCGACTGATCTGCGCCCTTTTCCTTTCCATCTTCCCCCGCCCCCCTTTTCCCTTCCAAGTCGTCAACTGGGTGTTCTGATTCTGCCCACTACTATTGGATTTTTCCCCTGATTCCCTTTTGTTCCTCGTTGTCGTTGTGTCTTATTATTATCATTATTATTATTAATTGATTTTATTATTTTTTTCCCCTTCTTCTTCTTCTTCTTATTTCCTTTTCTTGTGTCTTACTTTCTTTTTTGTCCCTACTGTATTCTTGTTGCGGTTTCTGTTTGGCATTTCTTACAAGAGAAAATTCGCCTTTGTCATCGCAAACTTATCCATCATCCACACGCCCGCCGCCCCCCTTCTGGTCTCCCGGGTGGGTTTGTTTTATTTACCCTTCTAAAACCGATCGGAGGAGAGGTCCCCATCCTCGCCAACAACGACCGGAATTCACACCGATGCGTACCTATGGCCCTTCTTAATTTATCATAATTGCTAGTCTCTAAGCCCCGCTGGCCGCATGTGAATCAGAGGGTCCTGGCTGCTCTTGATCGATTATACGGTGTATCAGAAACCTTCTCTCAGGCCACCTCGCCTATTCTCTCGATCTTCTCCTGTGCCCCCCCCCTGAGTGAGCTCAAAGCATCCTTATCCACCACAAGATCTTCTGGACGCTATTTTCGCCCATTCACGTCATTCATCACTTCATTTCCCGGCAATCTCTTGACCAGAAGCCCCGCTACGATCGAAATTCGTGTGGATTGGACAGGCCCAGAATCTTCCCAAGCCCATAACCCCTCCCCTCCCTCCACCCGTCGCGGAATCCCGGTTCATGGGAATCGAGTAAAGCAGCCGAGAAGGGGTTGGGACTTTCGTGGACTTTGGAGCCGCTGGCTGCGCCCTCAATTTCTCTGAAAGTGGTTCCGGCGTCACTAGTGGTCGCCTTGGTTTCAGCCCAATGCCTATCAAGCTTCCTAAGGGCTTCGCCCGTCGAAAATCGTCTAGCAATGCTCTAGAGGAAGTGCAAAATCCTCCCCAGTCATCATTCCGAGTCTTTGAACGACCGTCCGGAGACAAAAAGTCTTTGAGTGATGGTAATTTAGTGGCAAAGCGCTTAAGCGAAGGTCAACCTTTGGATTCCCCCTCGGAGGATGACAATAACATCTTTGCTTTGCATAATTCCCAGCCAACAAGACATCAGTATGAGTCCCCTCTTTCGTCCGATGAGTTCTTACCCCTGCCCCCCTTCCTGGTAAGAAATGGCTGAGCTGACCTGGAGTGGTGGTGGAAGTACATTCGAAGGTACATCATCTGCGCGACCTCGCACATCTGCACGCCGTTCAACAGACGGGCCACAGCCTGAATCGCAGTCGCCACACACTCGAAACCTCTACGATATACCAATCCCTCCCCTATCAGGTGCGATTCGCGCAGCTGGTCGCACGTTCTCATTCGGCGGGAGATTCTCCAAGATATCTGCGCCAGTACCTCCGCCTCAGCCATCTACACCGGGCCCTTCTAGAAGCAGGGGAATGACAACAAGCACGTCAAGCACTGCAACGCCACCAAAGCTTCCCGATACAGAACTTCGAATTGGAAAAATTGACGACGACTTCCAAAACATGTTTGGTGATATTGGAAAGCGCTATTATGGGTCGAAGGACTCTTCTCTTGATCAGCCAGTAGACTTGGTAAGATGAAATTCCCTTTTCTGTATTCAGTATCTCGGTTTCACGCCTTTCTTGTTGCATCTCCAATCCCATGAAGTAATGCAGCACAACACTAAACTTCTACTGTAGGACTCACCCGGACCTTCCAGTCGACCAGATGCCTTGCCTCGAAAGGATGAGAGAGTCTCACGTCCTGCTCCAATTGATACTGACCGTTCAAGGGAGGTTGAGCCATCACCATACTCTTGGGATAGCCGACATTCGGAGGAGGGCCTGCTGACCACTCTTGATTCACCCAACGAACAATCGACAACACAATCATATCAACGCAATATCGATCCAGTCTCCGTTGGAGACCGGCGCAAATCTATGCCTCTGTCCGGTACTACGCCTTTGGCTACTACCTCCCATCGTTCTTTGGCAAAGCCTCGAACGACGGCGGACACGGGTTTGAGGAGAAGCGGAGTTTACTCTAACAGGCGGGACTCTGTACCTGTTGAAGACGAGGACGCGAAATTAATCATGGAATCTCTCTACTCTAAAAGGAGCTCGCAAATACCATTCATGGCTGACCACGCGGCTTCGGATGCGGAAAATGATGGGCCTTTGTTCGACCAGCCTGGGGCAAAGTCTTCTCGTCCTGATCGCCGGGAATCTATTCAGAACTCATTGAGCTCCCCCGTGCTGTCAGATCACCTGGATCCGTCGATTGCAGCCCATGCCCGTTTGGCTGCACAATACGAAAAAGCACAGCCAGTATCGGTCTCTTCAACGAATAAAGTCATGACCCCATCTCAATTCGAACATTATCGTCAGCAGCAAGAGCTCAGACGGTCGAACAGCGACGCCTCGAAGAGTGAGAATTCCGCAGAGAGCGATTACGATGACGATGACGAGGTAGAGAAAGACCGTGAGGCCGAGAGACAGCGGCGCAAGCAAGAGGCCCATCTTTCAGTTTATCGCCAGCAAATGATGAAGGTGACCGGCCAGGAATCTCCTACACCAGCTATGAGAACCGAAATGGACCAGGCTAGTAAGAGTGCGCCGAATCTATTACAGCCTGGAATTACCTCGGGGAGCGGGAAAAGCAGTGATGGTGATGATGATGAAGAGATTCCTTTGGGCATTCTGGCAGC